ATCCCACTAAGCGACCACAAAGCTCTTAAAGAAAAATACCTAAGCTTTCTTTTGAGCAAAAAAAATAAAAAATAAAATACCCCTTTTTGAAAAAAAACATAAAAATTATTTTTTATCTAAAAAAAAAATTAAAAAAAATTCATTTTAATTAAAAAAAAATAAAATTTGTAAAGACTGAAGAGAAATCTATCGAAAACATTCCTGAAAAAATTTTCTAAATACAATAGGTAATTAGTTATATGGATCCGAAAAAATGGCCGTTTGACCAAAATGTCAAAATTCTAGACCCTCCAACTCGGAGTGTGTTTGACCGATCCCATTGAAATTTTTTGTCATAACTACTATTTTTTAGGACTAACCTTGGTGCAAATTTCATCCCGATCGGAAGACATAGATTTCAAAATTTGGGTCACTTGAGGTGAAATGCCCCATATATATATTTTTTTTTAATACGACATTTGCAAAATATTGCCTACTGGCACCAGTAATCAGTTTTTTGCTCTCCTAAAAAGTTACTAAAAAACACATAACTGTTTTTGTTGGCGCAGCGACGATATGTATGTGTAGGTACTATGCCCGAAGCGCTTATTTAGGGGTGGCTCACAAGCAGTATGCAAACCTCTAGTAGAGCTGGAAAACAATCGATGGCACTATCGATAGTATCCATGTTTTCCAATCTCCCCCACTATCATAACACACCATTTGTTAGAAAAATATTTTATGAAATATTACACATTATCGGCTCTATTAATGAATTATAGCATGATTGTCGAGACAAAGAAATAATTTGACGAATATTTTATGGAATTGCAATTACCACTACATTAAATAATACCCTGGCAACCAATTAATTCGCACTTTCTATAGTAAATATTAATTTAAATTTTTCCGCAGAGGGTTTTTCTAAACATTGATATTTTGCTCGTTTCATTTATTGGTTTCTACATTACAAATTGGCCAAACCAGGAATCATACAACTATGTATACCAGTTCACATTAAAAAGAGGACAAGTTTAGCAGTTGTTCTGGTTAAGACCGCATATGTATTTATATGTTTATATTTTTAAAAACACCTTTGTAGGTGAGTTTTCTAAAAGTTACATTACATGTGATATCAGTCACAGTAAAATATTTTTTTTATCAAATACCGTTATTGAAGAAAATATGCAAAATATCTACTGTGTTTTACAATTTCTTCCCAAATGTATACATTTATGTTATTTAGGGTCTGTGCCAATTGATAGAAAATAAGAAAAATATTGACGGATATAACTAAAAATTTGACATTTCTCGTGGTGAATACATACGTCAGAATTTTACCATGGGGCTAGGTAATATTTTGACAGCATATAAATATGTATGCACAATACTGTTTGGCGGCAATAAAAAGTGAACATCAAAATGGAAGCTGAAAAAAGCCCAAAAAGCGTACGCTACTTGCAAGTTGCAAAATGAATATACATTTGAACAATTTCAGCAACACACAAAAATATGTAGCACGAGTGTTTGTTTGGTTTTTTTTTTCAACTGCCAAAATTTTACTTTGCATTTGGCACAGCGAAATTCAATTTATTTGTACACCATAGTATATAAATTGTTTTACCTCGTCTCACCACGGAGAATAATGTTACCGATTGGCACACAACCTTACTGAGGAAACATCGATAGTACATCGATGTTTTGCTTTGAAAATATCGACAACATCGATGGTCCCAAACATTGATTGTTTTCCAGCTCTAACCTCTGGCACATATGTGGTAGATCTACCACATATTTTTTTTAAATCTGGGTTTCTATCACATCCACCACACAAGACTATGAATGCAACATCGTTCATAACCCCCCTTGTTGGAAGGAAATATGTATATAAATTGGCCATCATTTAGTTTAAGATAATAATAGTAAAACATATTTTAAGATCTCAACAATTTTTATAGAGCTTGAGGCCTTAACAGTTCATTAAAATGGCATGCCAGGAACCAGTTTTAAGTGATGCTGGTATATGTATGATCGTAATTTTCTCCACAAACAGTTATTATTTTCTAATCCGAATACCTGTGATTGGAGTCGAGGGATATGTACATACAGTGACCAAAATATAAATTACAACTCGACATTTTAGCAAGGTTTGGCTATTTGTCTTTAGTGTATTTAGTGTATTTAATGTTTTTAATCTTTTCTATCTTAGTAAAGCCCTTTTCCTAACAAAAGCCATATACATACTTAAATCCAAATTTCAGACTTTGTGCAAAAAACTATAAAAAGTAATTCTGCAATATTTCACCAAGATTTCAAACTTTTTAGTTAGAATCTTAAAAAGAAAATTGGTTTGCAGTTTTGTAGGTCATTAAAGATTAGTATATTAAAGTACAAGTGGAAAGTCCTGCCCATTTGCTCCTCTTTTAAAAAGTTGTCGGACATACTTTGTATGAAGAAATTTGTAACACCGTCTACAAAAAAAACTGGCAAAAATTAACGTTAAGTCCTACCGACTGCAAAATTCCACTTTATTATACTAAATTTAACGAATCTTTTTAAACAAATTTTACGCGGTAAAAATCTCGAGAAAAATATCATACAAATTTGTAATGTTACTATAAGGATGCTGTTTCAGGCATAATACATCTAGGATCATTGAAGAAGGTTTTAAGATCTGTAGGTTTTTTTGCAAAATATACGCAAAATTATTTTTTGCCCCGTATTCGGGTGTCATAAATATGGTCACCGTAGTGATAGTAGCTAAAACTTCTACCTATGGGCAAATTATTGTTGTTTTTCCACAATATATTTTCATTAGAAACGGCCTCAAACTCAACAAAAATTTTTGAATATAGCACCGTGCGACAAAACCCAAAAATTTTTAAACCACAAGAAAAAATCAATATATTTACAAAACTAGGAGCCAAATATAGTATAACTGAGTTTTTAATTTTTCTCTCTGACGTCAGGATTTTTTTGTAAAGACTTTGAAATTTCTAGGATATGATTGAATAAAAATTATTTAAAAAATTTGGTGCATTGTAGAGTAATAACATGGGTATCAAGTAAAAGCAAAAATTCTGTAGAATTGAAAATAAATTTAATTTTTTAGTGCACGAGGACGAATAAGTGTTGAAAATGTTCTTTTAAAACTTTATCTTGAATATCCATGGAAATTTCCAATATTTATTTTTGAAAAAAATATATGCGAAGGACTAATATGTAGACTCCGACCGATTCCAATTTTTTTTTCAGGATTTTTCATTGGATTTTGACCCCTTTCGATGAAAGGATTGCCTGCACTTTATGAAACTTACGTTTTATGAAACGTAAGTTTTATGTCAAGTTCTATATTTGCCATTACACGTTTTTGTTCTAAAAATGTATTTTTTTTACAATTTGAATACTTATTATTTATTTTTTGAAATATACAATATTAAAATTTATACTAGCGAGTATTGTGGCTTATTCGTATTTTCGTAGTGGTGCTAATAATTTTACAATATTTTACTATTTTTATAATTTTCTGGAATCATGGGACAGATATATTTTTGTAGAATTCAATGTACATTTGGTGTACCACAATAACCAAATGTCAATGACACTTCTTTTTGTAAATAATAAACGTTAAAAAATTGATTCATCTCCTTCCTCATTTTTTCTAAAATAAAATAAAAACAAATAAAAGTATATAACAAATGACTAAGTGAGCATCAACTCAAGGCGTAGAAATAGTATTTTCAGAGATTGTAGGCGAGAGTTCTAACTTTAATTTAAGCCAGGAAGGTTCTATCACCTTTTGTTTCTCTGCTAGAGCTTCTAATGTATTGCAGAAAACGCGATTTTTTGATACTTTGACTTCCCTTTTTTCAAAATCTGGAGCTTATGGAAACTTTATGCTTACGGACTCGTAATCAGCACAAAACAAGTCTATCAAAAACAGCATTAACATTTGCTCTGCCAAAATGTGTTTCTATTTTTGTTGGGCTTAGTTATACATTAAAATTGAGCAAAAATTCAGGTTTCTGTTTTTTCTACAGAAATTTTTCCTTATGTGGTCCATAATACCCTTCGCTCCTCTATTTAGTTATAGTTTTGCAAAATAATTCAATAATTGCAGACATGGGCAGAGAACGAGCTCACGATGGGCTAGCTTTTCTCAATATGTATTCATCGCAATCTGGATGTTAATGTCTACTCAGTATTAAAAGAATTTGTATCTATACCTCCATGAATTGCATGTGATTTTTATTTGAGTTGTGCTGAATTATATCCGCAATTAAGTACAATACATATATGCTGAATACTCTAAATAAAACAATGATATTCTTGGTTATTACGAATGACTTTACATAAACCTTTGGAAAACACGTCGTAACGATCTAAATCTTTTTATAACTGCTAGTCCTTATAACGTTACATATATCTGAAAAATTCTTCAACAAAATTTTCTCTGGTGTGTAAAAACCCAGATTTACTACTTTTAATGATGCTGCTTCTTGTAGTTAGAATATTTCGAGCGTGGTATCAACACCAACTTTTTTTCAACAAATGTTCTGATAGTTTCTCTTACACCCAGAAAAAAGTCAGCTAAATATATTTCTCTCAACACATGATTTGGTAAATATAACCAAATAATGTAACTATAACCAAATAATGTGTTGAGGAAAACATATTTAGTTAACGTAACTAAACTCTTTTCTCAGTATACTTAATTGGAGCCTTCTAAACTCAATGGCGTCCCCAGCTTTGCCAGATTGGCTTCACTTTTCGATATGGCGGTACTTAAAACTTTGCTTAAAGTTTAACTATTTTATAAAAAAAACTCCCTTAGTCTTGAAGATTCCATTGAATTTAGAGCGTCCCAGCTAAAAATTTACAACTTGCACAGCGTAATTTGAACCCAGGTTTTTCTTTTGTTTTATATTTGGTTATAGTTATCGATTTATTAAGAGATTACGAATAGAATCATATATAAAACATAGGTTTGCCCACAAATTAAAAAACTAAACTTTTTGTTTTAAAAGTGTACCTGTTTTTTAGATTTGCCTATATGTGCTTTAACTTTTTAATATTTCAGAAATCCGCATATTTATATTTGCTAAAGTATCTGTTATGCAATGGAAAGGAGTTTTTTGTTCCATCCTATCGTTAAATTATACATATGTATATCCAAAAATATAAGTTTGTTAAAGGATCATATTTTTTATCAACCTAATAAACTTAATTCTTAATTACGTACTATGTGCATATGATATACATACATGCATATGTATTCTCAATAAAAATATGAATTGAAAAATCTACCACATCTTATTCAAATCTACCCAATTTTTTTTTGCCGATTCTACCACAATAAAATAAAATGGGGTGTGCACACTGCTCACAAGCATGAATACTATTTTTCGCTCTCAAAATAAAACGCGGATGTCTTAATTAAGATTTGGTAATTGTGACCACAGTATGTCCTGAGAAAAACTTATCTGAGTTAGCAGATAGTATAAAGGCAGTGGCACACGATTCGGCATTTGCCCAAAATTTAGTGCAAATTGTATGAATGCACAAATATTTTTTGTTGTCCCAATTTTTTTTATTTTGCACCAATAGCCCAATATAAAAAATGTAAAAATCTATTGTACTGATGTACCAGTCGTGTGACACCGCCTTATTAATATAATTTTATGAACCATACGTTAAGTTTCATAAATGGAATTTGTTGAAATGTGTACCAAAACAATATTAATTAGTATTTGCCAAACTCAAGAAATTCTCCAACAGAATTAACGGTTTGGCCCAACGTAGACGAATATCACTATATATATGTATACATATAAATATGTATATTTAGTTATAATTACCAAACCTTGGTAATAGTTCGCAAATATTGTCAAAATTCGGCAACTAAATATTAGTTGTCGAAACAAATTTCTTTTCTCAGTTTATATAAAGTACATATTTATATGTGTGTAGAATATAGTATAAGTTTACTCGCTATACGTATGCAAATTATTTTATTTTATTAATTAATTACTAACCTTTTAGGTTATGTAGTCCTTTCACGCTTAACTAAATTTGTCTTCTATCATTTTGACCTGGTCTTCTGGCTCTTATCCATAGATACATGTGTGTGTATTTATAAACCCGTAGCCTAGTATAAATATTCATGCTTATCTAGATATATCGTATGTATATATGTAAATGTGTATGCCTTATGTATACATGTGCATATAGATAATTATACATACATAAGTAAATGCACACATAATATTTTTTGTTTTAACGCTTTATAAATGAATCGGGAAATTATCAAAGGTAATAAGTCAGCATTTTCCGATACGGTAAATTTGATGCAGTTCAACAGAGCTTCTTTAAACCAACCGAGCTGCATGAAAATTTCATATCGTTCTTGCTGACTTATTCCCTTTGGTAACTATCCGATTCAAATGAACTCATAATATGAATATTTATGAACGTATGTATAAATTCTAGCTAATATTATCTAAACAGTTTTAGTTATCTTAATAGTAGTCATCTATAGCTGGCATCTTCAATCATGTGATGTAATCACGGTTCTGAGTATATTCCTCACTGTAGCGGGCGGAAGCTGCAAAGAAGAAATACAAATCAAAGGCGTCAAATAGTTTGTGTATATCAGCTCAAAAGCGTATTTTCCTTCTTAATATTTAATAATATCATCCTCATCATAAAAAAAATCCTTGCAAGATTGTTTTTGATATGTATGTGCATCCTATTAAGTTAGGTATAAACTAGTAATAACCCCCGAAATCCGGGCGAATGCTGTGAAGAAATACTTACTAATATTAAGTATTTTAAACTTAAGTAAAAAATGAAACGCGATTTTTATGCATATACTTACATAAATATAAAGCAACGGTGGGCAAACGCGGCTCTTTGCAGCAGAGTGCGGCCCTTTTTACTTTCCCTTTCCTTAGAACATTTTGGCACTTTTTATACCCGAGCGCACTTGTGCACAAGGGTATTATAACTTTGTTCACATAACGGTTGTTTGTAACAGGCAAAACGAATCGAGATAGATATAGACAAATGTATACATAAATGATCAGGATGAAAAGAGAAATCGATTAAGCGGTGACTGTCTGTCCGTCCGTCCGTCTGTGCACACAATAACTCGAGTAAAAATTGAGATATTTTAACGAAACTTGGTATGTGCACTTCTTTCGGGCGTAGGACGGATGGTATTGAAAATGGGCAAAATCTGACAATAACCACGCCTACCTCCCATATAACGGTAATTTTCAGAAATACAAAAACTGCGATATTTTAGTAACTACTGAAGATAATTCACTCAAAATTGATATTTATAATAAATTTTAGGCGAAAAATAAGAATATTAACATTTTTTTGAAAATGGGCGTAGCCACGCCCACTTATGGTTACATGTGTATATCTTGGTAACCGCTGCATCAATTTATTCCAAACTTTGTACAGTTGTTCGCCTTAATACAGCATACTAAATGGCCGAAAATTTTAAAAATCGGATAATAACCACGCCCACTTCCCATATAACGGTAATTTACAGAAATACGAAAACTGCGATAGTTTCGTAACTACTGAAGATAATTCACTCAAAATTGATATTTATAATAAATTCTAGACGAAATATAAGAATATTAACATTTTTTTTAAAATGGGCGTAGCCACGCCCACTTATGGTTACATGTGTATATCTTGGTAACCGCTGCATCAATTTATTCCAACCTTTGCACAGTTGTTGGCCTTGATACAGCATACTAAATGGCCGAAAATTTTAAAAATTGGACAATAACCACGCCCACTTCCCATATAACGGTAATTTTCAGAAATACGAATACTGCGATATTTTAGTAACTACTGAAGATTATTCACTCAAAATTGATATTTACAATAAGTTTTAGACGAAAAATAAGAATATTATAAATTTTTGGAAAATGGGCGTAGCCACGCCCAGTTATGTTTACATGTGTATATCTTGGTAACCGCTGCACCAATTTCTTCCAAACTTGGCACAGTTGTTAACCTTGGTATAACATACGAAATGGTCGAAAATTTTTAAAATAGGACAATAATCCCATATAACGGTAATTTAGAGAAATACAAAATCTTCGATAAATCAGAAATTATTGAAGCTAATTTATTCAAAATTGATGCTTGCAACAATTCGTTACCACGAAATACGTTTAGGATACAATTTTGAAAAATGGGCGTGGCACCGCCCACTTATGATCACATATATGTATCTCGGTAACCGTTAAATTTCAGATATGCTTGAAACTTCAATATTTCGAAATTTAAGGACGCTAATTTACTCAAAATGGATACACCTCGGTTTACCATGTAGCGGTAGCTTTCGGAAAGGTGAAAAACATATATTTAGTACTTGCGCCGGGTATTTAATGTTCGGCTCCGCCCGAACTTAGACTTTTTTACTTGTTACTTTTTAAAATACATATTTTTTTGTTGGACATTCTTTTCCATTCTGTTGTTTTTATACCCGAGCGCACTTGTGCACAAGGGTATATTAATTTTGTTCACATAACGGTTGTTTGTAACATCCAAAACGAATCGAGACAGATATAGACAAATGTATACATAAATGATCCGTCCGTCTGTCCGTCCGTCCGTGTACACGATAGCTCGAGCAAAAATTGAGATATCTCAACGAAATTTGGTATGCAGATTTCCGTTAATCCAAGGTAGGTTGGTATTGAAAATGGGCGAAATCGGACTGTAACCACGCCCACTTCCCATATAACGGTAATTTCCAGAAATACGAAAATTGCGATATTTTAGGAACTACGTAAGATAATTCACTCAAAATTGATATTTACAACAATTTTTAGACGAAAAATAAGAATATTATAAATTTTTTGGAAAATGGGCGTAGCCACGCCCACTTATGGTTATATGTGTGTATTTTGGTAACCGCTGCACCAATTTCTTCCAAACTTTGCACAGTTGTTGGCCTTGGTACAGTATACTAAATGGCCGAAAATTTAAAAAATCGGACGATAACCACGCCCACATCCCATATAACGGTAATTTAGAGAAATACAAAATCTTCGATAAATCAGTAAATATTAAAGCTAATTTAATCAAAATTGATGCTTGCAACAATTCTTTACCAAGAAATACGTTTATGGTAAAATTTTGGAAAATGGGTGTGGCACCGCCCACTTATAATCACAAATATGTATATCGGTAACCGTTCTACCAATTTGTACCAAACTCGGTATTTTTATTGTGCTTGCCACATAAAAGCAAAACGTTAAAAATTATTGAAATCGGACTAAAATTACGTCCGCTTTTCATATAACGGTAAATTTCAAAAATGTTTGAAACTGCGATATTTCGAAATTTAAGGACGCTAATTTACTCAAAATTGATACACCCCGGCTTACCATGTAGCGATAGCCTTCGGAAAGGTGAAAAAACATTTATTTAATACTTGCGCCGGGTATTTAATGTTCGGCTCCGCCCGAACTTAGACTTTCTTGTTTATTTTATTCTTCTTATATACACATACGCAAATTGAGATCGGAATATTACCCGCAATTGGACACTGAAAATTGGATTTCTGACTTAATAGGGGTATTCTCCAAATCTTGCAAAGCCATTGCACGTAGCACGGATTGCATGGATTGCATAACTTGCAAACGCACAACAACAAAATACATGGGAAACAACATTTCCTATCGCTGCATAGCAAGATAAATGCGACCCTGTGCTAGATGTTTTGTTGTTGGAATTGCTACATATTTCTCTCATTCCTCTCATCTCGCTCACTTCATTTTTTTTGCTGTCTCTTGTTTTTGTATTTGATACGTAATTTCGCTGCTTGCTACCCATGCATGCTACCACTTTGCAATGGGGTGCTCTCGTACTCTTCGAAATTTGGAATAGTATTTTTGCATTTCGTGCAATCCGTGCATCGTGCAAGACTTCGAGAATACCCCTGATGTTCTTTACCGATATGATGGAACATTTACAAAACTTGAATTTGTCTCTACAAGGAGAGAATATAAAAGTTTTTGATTTGTCGCAAATTATTTTAAGTTTTGAAGCTAAACTACGTCTCTTTTTATGATGTCAAAAAAAGAATATTTCATCATTTTTCATGGCTAGAAAAAATATTGCGCGTGTTTTAAAAGCAGATTTTGAAAAAAAGATTTGCCGATTTGAAATTATTTAAATGTACGTTTGCATACCTCATAAACCCTTTTTTGTGTATCATAATTGAGGACAAATTTACAATATCCGAAATACTCATTTTTAAGAAAAGCGAAGAAGAGTTGGAGTTTTTGGAATCAAAAGAAGATAAGGCACTGGAAATTCAACATAAAGCTTTGCTATTGCTTGAATTTCGGCAATAAGTACCAGATTTAAAATATCCGCTTTTGAAAACAGCTGCGTCCCGTATATTTTCAATTTTTGGTACAACGTATAACTGTGAGTCTGTGCTCTACAATAGTTGCGATGCCGTACGAGTCCCAACTAGTCACAATCAGTCAGAGTTTACTGGAAATCGATCCCGTACTCGGTTCCCTGACTATTGAGAAGACAAAAAAGAGAGTAAATAAGGTCCTCTCTCTGTCAGAAGTTACTACTTTTAGTCCGAAGATTTTTTGCTGGTAAATTCTGGTAAACGTGTCAAACGATTAGCTGTAGTATGTTTGGCAATCAAATTGTAAACAAAAGAAAAGTGCACTCTGCTAATTCATGTTGAAAAGTATTTAATTACTTGTTTAAGTGGATTCTAATGAATTTGAAAGTATTTTTGGTTATTTACAATTATAAGCAAAAATTTCCCTGTGGTGTAGTGGTAAGCAGTGCGCGCTTCCACTCCGCAGCACCTGGGTTCAAACCCTGGTCAAAGCAACATCGCAAAAAATATAGAAAAAAGGTTTTTTCTTAACAGCGGTCGTCCCTCGGCAGGCAATGGCAAACCTCCGGGTGTATTTCTGCCATGAAAAACAGCTTCTCATAAAAATACAATCGCCGTTCCGAGTCGGCGTAAAACTGTAGGTCCCTCCACTTTGTGTGACAACATCAAGGCGCACGCCACAAATCGGAGGAGAAACGGCCAAACACTAACATATGTGTAAGCGCCAATCTATATAGTATATATAAGCAAAAATTTACCAGCAAAATTTGGAGATTATGTTGAAGTTGACAGAAAATACCATTTTTTACTAGAAAGCAATCCTGTACTTTTCAATGTTACTCTATCGCTCTGAGCGAATTTTTATTTTTTGACAGTTTTACTAGTTTTAGTCCGAGGAATACAGTGCCGTTTACATACAACTTTTGCTTCGCTTTGCTTCATAATTCCGCTTTGACAGATAAGTTCAATACATGATTTTATATGAGTCTTGCTAAATAGAAGACTTGGAAAGCAAAGCGAAGCAAAATCATGGGCAACTCTGAACTTTTGTGCGATTTGGTAATCAGCTGTCTGCATGTATATTCCCTCGCGCGCTTGCATTTGTATTTAATGACAAAAATAAGGTAAATATGAATTATTATTGCTATTATTAATGCATATTATTATATTGGTATCTATTTTACACAGATAAAATATGGAGG